GGACGCACTCCTATACTGAATGCTAAAGATATAGTTAACTAAAACAAAGATGCCTGTCCTTTTGTAGAATTGTTCCAGATTGTAGGACTCGGAGATAAGAGGCTCAGAGGATAAAATCACATAGGGAAATGAGCCTCCCCATGAATGGGGAAACCAAAGTATCTCTCCCTCCTCCTGGGAGGCAGGCCTTGTGCAAACTTCTCTCCTACTGGATTCCTCTACAGAGCCAAGACACACTTCAAGCACAATGCATTAGAACTGGCTCTCCAGCAGGGTCACCCATGGTGGACAAGCTTAAGCTGAGCTTTTAGACTATGATAGACTAGGAAGAAGGAGAGGACTACTTCTGAATATTAAGTCACTGAAAACCTTCTGACTAACAGGGGAACACTGTCAGACAACACCAGAATATTGAATATTGAAACATGATAAATGGTGGTGGTTATGTGCTGTGGAGTCAGTTCCAACTCATAGCAACCCTGTGTAGGGTTTCTGAAGCTGTAAATCTTTATGGGAGCAGAATCTTTCTCCCGCAGAATCACTGGTAGTTTTGAACTGCTGACTGTGTGATTAGCAGCCTGACTTGAAACCACTATGCTACCAGAGCTCGTTAAACATGATAAAGAGCACCAGAAGACTGTCAGGCATAGTGCCGGAAGAGGAGTCCATCAGGTCGGAAGGCACTCAAAAGATGAATGGAGAAGAGTAGCCTCCTCAAAGTAAAGTTGATGTGATGATGCTTTTGGGACCTTCATTTGCTGATGGGGCACAACTCAAAATGAGAAGAAACATCCACTAATAATCGAAACATGAAATGTATGAAGTATGAATCTAGGAAAATAGGAAGTTCTCAAAAACAAAAAGGAACACATAAAGATGGATATCCTAGGCATTAGTGAGCTGAAATGGACTGGTATTGGCCATTTTTATTCTGACAATCACATATGAATGACAAATTGAAGAGGAATGGTGTCGCATTCATCAAAAAGAACATTTCAAGCTCTAATCTTGAAGTATAATGCTGCCTGTGATAGGATAATATCCATATGCCTACAAAGACCAGTTAATACCGTTATTCAAATTTATGCACCAACTACTAAAGCCAGTGATGATGAAATTGAAGAATTATACCAAGTCTTAACTTGATCAAACATGTGACCAAGATGTATTGATAGTTATTGGTGATTAGAATGTAAAAGTTGGAAACAAAGTTGGAAAATATGGCCTTGGTGATAGAAACGACACTAGAGTTTGCATGATAGAATTCTGCAAGACCAATGACTTTTTCACTTCAAATACCTTTTTTAAACAACATAAAAGATGAGTATACACAGAAATCAAATTGACTACATCTGTGGAAAAAGATGGTGGAAAAGCTCCATATCAGTCAAAACAATGCCAGGATCAGATTGTGGAATAGATCATCAATTGTTCATATGCAAGTTCAGGCTGATGCTGAAGAAAATCAATCCATGAAAATCAAAATATGACCTTGAACATATCTCACCTGAATTTAGAGATCATCTCAAGAACAGATTTGATGAATTAATTGACACTAATGACCAAAGACCAGAATAGTTGTGGTATGAAATAAAAAATATCATACAGGAAGAAAACAAAAGGTCATTAAGATAAAGAAGTAAAAGAACAAAATAGATGTCAGAAGGGATTCTGAAACTTGCTCTCCAGCACAGAGATGCTAAAGCAAATGGAAGAAATGAGGAAGTAAAAGAACTGAACAGAAAAATTTTAGGATAGCTCAAGAAGACAAAGTCAAGTATTATAATGAAATGTACAAAGACCTCAAGTTAGATAACCAAAAAAAGAACATGCTCAGTATCTCTCAAGCTGAAAGAACTAAAGAAAAAAAATCAAGCCTCAGCTTGTAATATTAAAGGATTCTGTGGATAAAATATTGAATGATGCAGAAAAGATCAAAAGATGGAAGGGCTTTCTTCGCCATCATGTGAATGCTGCTAGGTTTCATCTTTACCATGTCTCCTCATAAGACTTTCAGGACCCAGAGATTCCTGGCCAAAAACAAAAGCAGAATTGTCCCATTCCCCAATGGATTCGAATGAAAACGGGTAGTAAAACCAAGATACAACTTCAGGAGAAGACCCAAGCTCAGTCTCTAAAGGAGTCACACATGTGATGGCACTGCAAACAATATACCTAGGTCCTAGCACTCTACCGTATCAAGTTTGATTTTGCCAAAATCTGATCAATTGACCATGTCTTGCAAAACTTGTTTCTTCCTGTTTTTATGCTTCCACATTAAAAAGTTGGCTAATGAACACATGAGACCTTTGGTTTAAAAAAAAAAAAAAGAAGAAGAAGATTCACTGTTAACAAAAAGAAATGGTTGACATTCAACCATTTCAAGAGATAGCATATGATCAAGAGCCAATGGTATTGAAGGAAGCAGTCCAAGGTGCCCTGAAGACATTGGCAAAGAACAAAGCTCTTGGAATTGATGGAATATAAATTGACAAATTGAAATCTTTCAACAAACTGATGAAGCACTGGAGGCACTCATTCATCTGTATCAGAAATTTGGAAGACAGCTGCCTGGCCAACTGATTGGAAAAGATCCATATTTGTGCCCATTCCAAAGGGAGGTGACCCAACAGAATGTGGAAATCAGACAGTATCACTGATGTCACATGCAAGTTAAGTTTTCATAAAGATAATTCTAAAATGGCTGTAACAGTACATTGACAGGGAATGGCTAGAGGTTCGAGCCAGATTCAGGCAAGGACATAGAACAGCTCAGGGATATCATTGCTGACATCAGATGGATCAGAGAATACCAGAAAGATGTTTACTTGTGCTTTGTTGATTATGCAAAGGTTTTTAGACTGTGTGGATCATACAAGCGATGGACAACATTGCAGAGAATAAGTATTCCAGAACCCTTAATTGTGCTCATGAGGCACCTATACATAGACCAAGAGACACTTGTTTGAACAAAACAAGGGGACATTGACTGGTTTAAAATCAGAAGAGGTGTGTACATGCCAGGGTTGTATTCTTTCACCATACTTATTCAATCTGCATGTTGAGCAAGTAATCTGAGAAATTGGATTATATGAAGAATGTGGCATCAGGATTGGAGGAACACTCATCAACAACTTGCAATATGCAAATACGACCCTGCTTGCTAAAAGTGAAGAGGACTTAAAATACTTACTGATAAAGATCAAAGACCACAGTCTTTGGTATAGGTTTCACCTCAATGTAAAGAAAATAAAGATCCTCACCAATGGACCAATAAATACCATCATGATGAATGGAGAAAAGACTGACATTGTCAAAGACTTCACTTTACTTGGATCCACTGTCAACACTCATGGAAGCAGCAGTTAAGAAATCAACCAGTGTATTGCATTAGGCAAATGTACAGCACAAGACCTCTTTAAGGTGTTCAAGAGCAAAGACGTCAGTTTAAGGGCTAAAGTGTGCCTGATCCAAGTCATGGTATTTTCAGTAGCTTCATATGCATGTGAAAGTTGAACAATGAATAAGGCAGACCGTAGAAGAATTGACATGTTTGAGTTATGGTGTTGAAGAAGAATATTAAAACAATGGACTGCTGGAAGAACAAACAAATCTATGTTGGAAGAAGTACAGCCAGAATGTTCCTTAGAAGCCAGGATGGCAACTTAGTCTCTCATACTTGAGACATACTATCGGGAGGGACCAGTCCCCGGAGAAGGACATTATGCTTGGTAAAGAGCAAGAGCTCCAACATGATGGCCTGACACAGTGGCAGCAGCAATAGGCTGATGCTTGACGATTGTGAGGATGGCGCAGGAGTGGTAGTATATCGTTCTATTGTACATAAGGTCATAACCAACTCAGTGGTACCTAACAACTCCTCAATTCTGTCCACTAACCTTGGGGAAGGTCTGGGAGCCCTGTTTCCTTCCAACAATCTGAAAGCCCGGACTTCAAGGCCTTAGGCTATCCCCAAGATCAGTACTACCATATAAGGCCTGACACCCACTCTGCTCCTTCTCTTTAAAAGTTATCCCAAACTCTATACGGCTGGGACAGGAAGCTAAGGCTCACCTCTTCCTTCCCCACAGTGCTAACAAAGCATCAATAGGGTGTTATCATTTAGACCATGGGCTTTGAAGAGGGAAAGAACTCTGAATCTTGACTTCTCCACTCACTAGTTACATGGCCTTGAGCAACTCATGCTCCTCACTAAAAAATGGAATTATTTTGAGTTAGATAATGCAAAATGCTCAGTTGTGTCAGACACATAATAAGCACACAATAAATCATACCCAATACCAGGGTCTTTCTAGTCAAATCTTATAACTTGGTAGTCAAGAGCCTAGGATAATCCATTTTAGGCAGGTCTACATATATATCTTGCGGCAAAAACTAGGGTTACAAAAGACTCTGAATGGACATTCTTTGCTTGAATTAGCTCCCAGGTTTCCTAGAATCTGGTCTGAGGGGACAAGCCCTATTCAAGGCAGGATCCAGAAACCAACCTGATCTCCTCATCCCATGGTAACAGAATTCCCAGGGCTAGGCAGAAAGAAAACACAGGATATGATTGGGATTTCACTCAAGAATGTTTTTATTGAAGAATTTGTAAGAAAAAAAGATGGGCCCTCTGTATAAAGAGGAGATGATGCCTCCAAACATCAGGGAAAATGAGACCTGGGGGTATGGGGCGGGGAGTGGCTTCCCAGCCAGTGTTTCCAAATGACTGGCTCCCCTCCCTGGCAAGCACTAGAGCGTGTCACACCACAGCCAGCAATCCCTGCCCACCCCACTCCCACAACCTTGAAATTTAGGCTTTTTGGAGGCCTACAGATAGATGAGACAGGTCTCTTACTGGGGTCAAAGTGGGTTTTGCTTTGGGAAATTCAATCAGGAATGTAAAATGGTTTGAACTCTTTCGAATCCAACCAAGGATGACTACATCCAGCCCCTTTTCAGAGTTTTTCGTGTGAATGTGCACACTTGGAGTGAATGGACACTCTGCTCTTTATTAGCATGGAGAATGGAAACAAAGTGAGAAGGATCTATAACACCCGTGTTAGAGAGTCACTGAGTTCTAGGAGGCAGAAGGAGCACTGAGGGCTTCTGATCCAACAAATGCTCCTGCTGGCCAGCTCCAAGTCCTGGGGTTGGTCATTCCTCTCCCGCTGGGAGATTGTCCTCAATCCGCCTGATGAACCTCATCCGGATTTCTGTCACACCGTCTCCTTTTAGGGTATCCTGGACAAACTTGGCTTCTACAGCCATCTGGACCTGGGTGACAATGGAAAAATGAAGGGGCAGCTGCCTAACTCTGCCTTCTGGGAATGGGACTACAAATGGCTCATCCAGAGCAGTCAATAAAAAAGGGGGGACCGGGAGGACACAGGTTTCTCACAGGTATCCTCTAGGGACAAGGCTGCCAGCTCCAATGTTTCCTTGTAAAAGATAAGGCCTATAAGAAAGAACTCAGCAAAGAACACCCAAGAATGAGACTTGAAATACAATCTGGGTATGGATGTTCCTGAGCCTTGGGAGCTGACAGCATCACCTCCTAGCCTAGTAGGGAGAGGATCCTCATCATGTGAAATCCTATACCCAGTAGCAGCAGCATCTTAGACAGCAAAGCATTAGGGGAGCCCAAGGCCTTCCCCTTGGTGCTCTCCTGTTCACTCATTCAAACATTTATCACGGCCACACTACATTTCAGGTGTCTCAGAAGACAAAGAACTGCACTCACCATCTCCAAGGCTCCCCGCAACACCCCACACAAGAGATTGGAATAAATAAGGGATGAGTGGTTATCAGGAAGTTCCACAAAGTCCACCAAGGGGTTATTTTCCAAAATGAGGGAGAACTCGTCACCCGCTGGGCTCCAATTGGTGATGCTTGGAGTGATACCCAAGTACATCTTAAACGCCACCTGTGGGGGGACACACAACAGCACCATGGGTGAGAGCAGCAAAGGCTGGACAACGGGGAAGGGACTGGCAAATGGGAAAGTAAGAGAAATAAAACATAGGTGCTAAGTTTTGCTCAGGAGCAAAATGGTGGCCTCTGCCAAGATGTGAGAGCTTTGGATATTCAAAGAATAAAAAAGGAAAAACATCTGCACAATTCAGCAGCTCTTTCCTTCAGGCACTGTACACAGTAATCCAGTGTCTGCCTGCACATCTCAGGGAAGGGACACTGACCTAACAGGACAGCTGCCCTGAACCTGCATCTGACATATGTCCCTGTCCTCTGTGCTACTTGAACCCATCTTCTTGAAAGCAAATATAGGCCACTGGGGCAGAATTACTCCAAACACATCTTTCCCTCTCTTCTGCCTAATTCTAAACCCTAACAAAGTTCTCACCACTGCCAACACTGTTTAGGATGTGGGCATGGCCAGTGTGTTCTACCACAGAAAGTACCCACCTTCAGGTAACTGACACCACAAAGCTACAGGTATCTTATTATTTATTATCAACACGACGATATAGAACATTAGTATTAATAACAACAGACATTTCCTATATGCACGACACTATTCATTTTACCTGAATGTTCAAGATCATTCTTTACTTCTTATAAAAACCCCATGAAGAGGTTCTGTTTTTCTTTATTTAAAGATAAGGAAACTGACCATTAAAGAGGTTAAGAGTCACCTGTTATTGTTGTTAGGGGCCATCGAGTCAGTACCGGCTCATAGTGACCCTATGCACAACAGAATGAAACACTGCCCGGTCCTGGGCCAATCTCACACTTTTTGCCATGCTTGAACCCACTGATGCTGCCACTTTGCCAATCCATTTTGCTGGGGGCCTTCTTTTTCTCTCACCCTCCACCTTACCAAACATGATACTCTTTTCCAGAGACTGGTCCCTTCTGACAATATGTCTGAAGTATGAGAGACGAAGTTTGGTCCTGGCCCCCGCAAGACAGAATGTGAAGCTAGATTAATATGAGGCCAAAGCCTATTGCTGCCTCTTCAGTGAGGGGATCTGGCTGAGATTTCAGTGGGGGCTTTACAGGGATAAACCCAACCAGTCTTCTCTTTTTCAATATCTGTGCTAGTCCCAAACCACCAGGAAGGCTTCCTTGATCCAAACAGCTGCTTTGTGAGATTTAGGGCTATTCTAGGGAGTCCTGGTATGGCACTGTATGATAAAGCACTGGACTGCAAGGTCGTTTGAACCGCAAGGTCAGTGGTTCAAACACACCAACTGCTCCTCAGAAACCCTACATAGGGTCACTATAAGTCAGAACCAACTCAACGGCACTTAACAACAACTAAGTAAGATGGAGAGAGTGGTAAGCAGTGCCTCCCAGTGGCAATCCTTCAGGATGAGCAGGTGGCCCAAGATAATGACCTTGGCGATGACATCTGCAGTTTCCCGAAAGTCATGGCACCTCCCAACATTTGACCGTGCCAAAAAATCTTCAATTAGTCGGACGCCAATGTTATAGCCCCTGAAAAGGAAATGAAAGAACATGCAGTTACAGGATGATAGTCTCAAAGTATGCTGTTAGTGGCAAAAGAAAAATGGGGATAAACTGAAAACATCCCAATAATGGAGCTCAGTGGGAAGTGAGCCCAAATTGTGCCCAACTGTGTGCTCAGTGGGAGCTGCTCTCCAGGACAGTATCCTAGTCTCAGTGTGCTGTTGGCCCCATTCCTGCCCCTCCCACACCAGGACTCACTCACATTTTGTCCAGCTGTTTATTCACATCTTCATCATTTTCATAGTCCTTGCAGAGCTGTGTGACCAGAGCCCCATAGGTCAGGGTGAAGAGCTCAGAGCTCTAAAAGAGAGTCAAAGACAGTCAGGAGCCCGCAGCACAAAAGAGAAATGTCGATGTGTGTTTGTGGCTCAGCCCCAGTGCAACCGTCTTGACTCAATGGAAGGTCACCTGTGTCTGGTGACAAGCATGACTCCCAGGGTGAATATGGCAGGCCTGCAGGTAGGCCAGCACCTCATGCACCTTAAGCACTCTTCTAACACACCAAGGTGGGTTCTGCTAACTCAGGTGCCTACCACAGCAGCCAAGCATAAGCTCAGACCACTACGTGGGGTGGGAGTGGCAATGGTTCACTGGGTACCGTGACAACAGATCTGGGTATCAGTAGGTATGACTGATGGCCTTCCCAAACCTGCAGATTGTCCTGGCCTAGAGATAAACTATACGCCCACACTCCACCCAGGAGCAATAGAGGATCCAGGGGCCTCGTCCGTGGGAAAGAGAGTCAGTCCTAGACCAAGTCCAGTGGCTGATGACAACCCCTCTCCAAAGTCATCAACACGGGGAAAATAATGCTTGTGACACAACTAAAATGCTTCCAGGAAAGAGGGGAACTCTGGCACAAATGCAATCTTTTGTGTCCCTGAAACACAACACTGACCTTTACAATCTCAGTTAAAATCACAGAAACTCTTTCTTGAATAATGAATCCTGTCACCTACCTAACAAAAAACGGAGAGATGTGGAAGGTGAAAGGAATACCAAAAAAAAAAAAAAAAAATCAAAACTACAAATTGAAAGCAGCTGTTAAACAGAGGTTATCAGAGATAAACAAAGTGAGAAACATATAACAGCACCTTTGCACCAATGGACTCACATAGAAATGAATCTGAAAAGTGGAGATTGCCACCCAATCAGCTCTTTCTGAATGATGTCTTGTCAGACTTGGAGCAAAGCACCTGTCTTGAAGTCTTCTGGGGGAGAAAAGGCTAAGTAATGTTAAAGGCCAGACTCTCAGGCCACAGTGCTCCTCACTTCATAATGGTCTGCTGGTCACTCACTGCAAGAATAATCATCTGATTCCTTCACTTACATACCACATTCTACTCTTCATCTTCTCATTTTTTATCCCACATAACTCCGTAAAGCAGAAATAGCAGAATTAGCCCCATTCAGAGATGAGAAAATTGAGACTCAGAATGGTTAAGTAATTTGCCTAAGAACAAAGCTAATTATTAATAAAAGTAATTTGGGGGGACAAAAATCAAGGGTTTCTGTAAAAATGGCATGGAGGTGGTATTGCTGACCTCTTCTAACTTCACAAGAGGGAAGAATCTAGATCAATAGTCCAAGTCTGACTCCTATGAGACGGAGATCAGGTATGTTTCTACCTCCAACCTTTTTACCAATCCCGACAAAAACCTTCCCTCCCATAACACCCTCTATTCCTCTGTTGGGCTCAGTAATTCATTGCAGTGGTCACACAGAAGTCACAGACCACACCCACAGGTATGGGGTCTCAAGGGAAGTGGTGGTGTGCTGCGGAGTCAGTTCTGACTCACAGTGACCCTGAACAGGGTTTCTGAGGCTATAAATCTTTATGGGAGCAGAAAGCCTTATCTTTCTCCTACGAAAAGTTGGTAGTTTTGAACTGCAGACCTTGAATTTAGCAGCACGATTCATAATAGATTACAGTTTAGGGTAAGGACAGACTCAGGATATAGTTCTTCAGTCAGGACAGCCTTTCCTTGGCCTTTAGCCTCTCAGCCCTCAGTTTACTGGGGCAAGTGTTACAAAGCTCTTTAGTTCCTCTGATAAGTGCCTGGAGTAACCCCTACTCCTCCAGTAAGTCTTGGTGCAAAGGCACTTATACACAGCTTTCTCACCCTGGGGGCCTGGAGGCTCATTATGCCATTCTACACCGGGGTCCTGGTTCTGCTGACCCTGGTTCCACTTCTTGCCCTCTTGCACCATTTCTGATGGCAATAAGGTAGGCTCTCTCTACCTCCTGGGTCCTGCAGGCTCCCAGCACAGACACTCATTTTTATAAACTTAGCAGGACAGCAAACTTTACCAACCCCCTTGGAAGGGCTCCATATACCTTATTTCCATGGTCCCAAACAACAACATCTCCATAAGAAGGAGCCCTGATGGTGTACGGGGCCACACATTGGACTGCTAACCACAAGAGTCAGCAGTTCAAGAATACCAGCCACTCTGCAGGAGAAAGATCAGACTTTCTGCCCCAATAAACATTTACCGTCTCAGAGGCTTTCTGCTCCCATAACATGATTTACAGTATCAAAAACCTATACAGGGTTGCTATGAGTTGGAACCAATACCATGGAGTCCTGGTGTGGTGCTGTGGGTTAATGCATCAGAATGAAAAGCCGTTTGACCTGCAAGGTTAGTGGTTCAAGCTCACCAGCTGCTCCTCAGAAACCCTATTGACAGCACTTAACAACAACACAATACCATGGCGAGAAAGGCCATATAAAAGTGATCCACTGCAGTAGATTTGGGTCAATGGAAGCCTGAATTAGTTACCTTCAAGATAAATCTCTCAATATTAATAAACTAGATCAGAGAAAAGAATGAAAAAATTAGAAGACAGACTGAGATTATGTGGGACACTATGAAGAAGAAAAACTTACAGATGATCGGAATTTCAGAGTAGGAAAAGACACTAAAAAGCACAGAGAAACTTGTCAAATAGTTGCTGAACAAAAACTTCACTAACATCATGAAAGACGAGAAGATAACTATTCAAGAAGCTGAGCAAACCCCAAACAGGATAGGCCCCAAAAGAAAATCACTAAGACATATCATAATCAAACTTTCCAAAACCAAAGACAAGGAAAGTATCCTGAGAGCTACTAGGGGGGAAAAAAATTATCTACAAAGTGGAACCAAAAGGGCTAAGCTGATTTCTCAGCATGTAGGCAGGAAGACCATAGAAAGTCATATACAAAACTGAAAGAAAAAAACTGCTAACCATATACCCAGCAAAGTTGTCGCTAAAACACAACAGTAAAATTAAGACCTTTTCAGATAAACAGTAATTAAAGGCATTTGTAATAACCATGCCAATGTTACAAAATAACTAATGGCGTTCTTTGGACTGAGAACCAACAACAGAGAACAACCTGAGATTACCATGCATGAACTTAATCTAGCTACACAAGTATTTAAAGTGAAACAAACCTACAAGACTGAAAATAGGGAACCAGAGACATCAATTTATAGTGATGTTAACTACAAAGCAAAAAGAGAGAATAGTGCAGACACAGAACCTCCAAATGGCAATAAAGTCAAGTAGATTTCAAGATAAAACAGACTTTTTAAATGGGGGGGGGAATTAATAAATTACAGGATAACCTCAAAGGAAATTAATATACCGTCACATAAAAATTAAAAAGAGGAAGATCAGAATGATTTTGTTGTTAAGTGCCATCAAGTCAATTCTGACCCATAGCGACCCTGTACAGGGTTTCCGAGGAGCAGCTGGTGAGCTTGAACCACTGACCTTGCAGTTCAAAACAGCTTTACAGTCTGGCACATTAACCCACAGCGCCACACCAGGACTCCCAGAATGATTCAGTAAATATTAAAATAACAGCAATTAAGAAAATGAAACACACACACACACACAAACAAAAGAAACTCAGCATAGAAATTTATGTGGAACAAAGAAACTAGCAACACCACAAAAAAGCACACAGCAATCAATTCATACCTATTGATAATTACAATAAATGTAAATGGATTAAATGACCAGTTAGGAGACAAGAATGGATAAGAAGACAGGATCCTGAAATCTGCTGTCTACAAGAGACACACCTTACATACAATGACAAACATAGACTAACAATCAAAGGATAGAAAAAAAATATATCAAGCTAATAGAAATAAAATATAAGCATGAGTAGCAATATTAATCTCTGATAAAATAAGACTTTAAGGCAAAAACCAACATAAGAGACAAAGAAGGACATTAAATCATGATTAAAGGATCAAATGAACAAGAGAACATAACCCTAATTTAAATATCTATACTCCCAATGAAAAAACTTCAAAAACATAAATCAAACTCTAATAGAACTGAAAAAATAGACAACTCGACAATAATTGCTGTTCGAGCGGAATGTGGGACCCTATCCAGAGAGGCAGAAACAAGAGAGATGGAGGCAGAGATGAGGACATGGAGAGAGAGACAGCAGCTGAGGACTCTAGACTCATGGAAAGAGAAAGACTGAGTGATGGTGGCCAGGAGGCAGGCTTACAAAATTTGCCCTTTGTTTATTTAAATTATTATAGATTCCTGAGTATTTTGTGTACCTACCCCACCCCACTCCCAAAAAAGAGGGACTGGAAGTAAATACTGTTGAATGATGATGCACGGAGGGTACTGTAATCATTGCAATGAAATGATGACTGTAAAACCAATGTTCTCCCATGTAAGTTATCATTCAATTCACAATAAAAAACTTAAAAAAATAATAATAATAAAATAATTACTGTTGTTGCTAAGTGCTGTTGAATAGGTTCTGACTCACAGTCACTCTATATAGGGTTTCCAAGGAGTGGCTGGTAGGTTCAAACTGCCAACCTTGTGGCTAGCAGTCCAGTGCTTATCCTACACCGCAATACCAGGACTCTACAATAATAGTAGGAGACAGTAGGGAGATTTTAATACACCATTTTCAATGAAGGACAAAGCAAATAGAAAGACACTCAAAAAAGACACAGAAGAACTAAACAACACAATCAACTAACTTGACCTTATCTGTCAAGAAATATACAGAGAACTCAACCAAACCAAAGCACAGTAACACATTCTTTTCCAGTGCACATGGACATTCTCCAGAATAGATCACATGTTAGAACACAAAGCAAACCCAAATAAAATTTAAAACTTCAAAATACTACAAAGCATCTTCTCAATCACAATGCTATAAATCAGAAATCAACAATAGGAAAATCAAGGGGAAAAATATCACATACACAGAAATTGAAAAACACCTTGTTTAAAAGTTGTGTAAATTTTTTTAATTCCT